TTTACAAGTTAATTATGCAGGCTACACATTGCCCCCCCCAAGCAAGCTGGGTACTCATTTTACCGGAAGGATAGAAGGCTGAGTCACCTGCCTAGGATTGAACCCCAGGACGTGAGCATAGTTTTGGCTGCAGTACAGCAGTTTAACCACTGCACCATGAGGCTCCTGGATTTAAGCAATGTGTACTTCCACATTACAATTCGCCAAGACCATCGCAAATTCCTCAGATTCGCCGTAGGGCCCCATGCTTACAAATTCAAAGCCCTTCCCTTCATCCTCTCTACAGCACCAAGAGTATTCGTAAAATGTATGGCACCTATAGCAGCCCACCTGCGTACTCTGGGAATCTCCATCTTCCCATACATAGACGACTTGCTGATAGTTTCCCCTTCACAATCTCAGGCTTTAAAGGATATCCAGTTGACAATTTCTTGCGGATCTGGACCTCAAAATAAACGAAAAATCCATTCTTACTCCCATATAACGAATTGTCTACTAGGTGCAGTCCTCAACTCTACCAAGGCAAGAGTCTTTTTTCCTCTAGAAAGAGCAATCAAATTTCACACACTCATCAGTCAATTCCTTCCTCATGCCTTCGTCGCATTCAGCTCAATGTCTCATAGGCTTTATGGCCTCTACCATGTCGACCATTCAACACGCCAGGCTAAAGATGTGCTCTCTACAATCATGGTATCTGTCCCTATTTGACCGTATGACAGACCCACTGTCCAAACTTCTCCAGGTCACCCCCGAGCTCTTTTCTCAGCTCCTCTGGTGGGACACTCCATCCAACCTGTTCATCGGACGGTCCTTTGCTCCTCTTCAACCATCACGTCAGATCACCACCGATGCAAGCCCTAATGGATGAGGGGGCACATTCAACAACCTTCATATCCATGCTACCTGGTCCCACGCACAGCGGGCTCTTCAAACTATTTCAAGCTCTTAGCCGTTTTTAAAGCCTCCCGAGCCTTCAAACCAATCATTCTCGGCCATACCGTTCAAGTTACAACCAACAATACCACCGCGTTGTTTTGACTGCATACCCAGACCAGTCCGTATTTCTCCACCTTTACAAGATCTGGAGTTGACCACAAATTGACATATTTGCCACGTCCCAAAACTCCAAATGTGCCCTCTTCTATTCAAGGGCGGGCATGGGACACTGATCCCTCGGAAATGCACTGATGGCAGACTGGACCACACACCTCATCTGTCTCTTGCCCACATCCCTCTCCTTCTCAGAACAATAGCCAAAATCCACCACGATCGCTCCAACGCAATCCTCATTGCCCCTTGGCGGCCAAGACAACCATAGTTCACCATGCTCCACTCCATCGCCATGGATTACCTCCGGCTACCTCTCATCCCTTGATAGACACCAACTTAGCTAACAGCTGAAAGCCTGCCACTGTTAAGCTGAATTCCTATAAATGGACTGTTTTCACCAAATGTGCTCTCGAACATCATCCTCCTACCAATCCTACGACTCTGCAAGCAGTCCTTCAATTTCTCTCCCATCTATTTCATAAACAACTCTCCCATTCTACTCTCAAAGTTTACCTATCTGCTATAATAGCTCATTAACCTCAAGATTCCGATGCTGCTCTGCTTTTTCGTCATCCCACATTGAAACTCTCCCTTCGAGATGTCTCCAATATGCGTCCATCTGCTCCTTTTGAACCACTTGCTACCGTCTCTGAGCACCTCCTTTCCCTCAAGACACTCTTCCTGGTTGGCATTACAGTGGAACCTCAACTTATGAACGTCCCTACCTACAAACATTTTGACTTACGAATGGCTCTGTTCGCAGAATTTGCATCGACTTGCGAACGGAGCCTCGACCTACAAACGAAAAAAAGGCAGGGGAAAAGGGTGGGATATTCAAATTTCCCCTGCCTTTTTTTCATTCCATTCAAACCGTTGGTGGCGAGGGGAGGTGGCAATTTAAAATTTCCCGCCCTTTCCCGCCGCCGCGATTGGACTCCCAGGAGGTCTCTGATGGTGGCGGGGAAGCCCTGGGAGACCTCCCAGGGGTCCCTAGCCGCCGCGGTCGGAGGCAGTGGTCACCCAGCGCCTGGAGGCTGGAGCTGGCTAGGGTTTCTTTGGCCCGTTCCCTCCCGACTCGCCTCCTGCTCGCTCCTCACCACCCTCCACCATTTGAATTTGCTGCCATGGGCCCATGGGTGGCGCGGCGCAAGCGGGAGGCGAGCTGGGAGGCAAGCGGCCAAAACCTGGCCAGCTCAACTCTCCCAGCACTGGGCGACCGTTGCCTCCGTCATGGCCGAAGCCCCCTGGCCAGGCTCAAGCCTCTAGAATATTCCAGAGACCTCTGTACAAGCGCAGATTAAGCCCATTAGTGTGAATTCACAGATAACCACTCAAAGAACCAGAGTTATAGGTAAGTAACCTCTTTTATGCTGAAGTTCAGATCTTTCCCTTGCTAAACTGTAGAGGAAAGAAACATTACTGCTCTCAGTTTTGGTTATTCCCCAATATAAATTCAACTTTTCATCCAGTAATAAGTATAACACTATTTGCTGTAACTCCTTTACACTGGGAAGCTATCAGGTTGTGTGTGTGTTGGATTTGTCACTTCATTTTTTGAAAGAGTCAATATTCCATTTCAAAACAACATTCCTTATATGTCTCTAAGCACTGAGGGAGCTCCCTGCGTTAAAAGAGGTGGAAGATGCAGGTGGCAGCCAGGGTTCAGTCCACTAAGCATTACATTCAGAAAGAGAAATAAAGAAGAAGGGGAAGAGAAAAGGACACCCATGAGTGCTCTGTCCCGCCCGTATTTTTTTCACCTACTGCTATTGGAAGAGACCAGTCCTGAATTTTAATCTGTCTTTTCTCTTTGCCTTAACCCTTTCTGAAATCTGTAGCCTGTAGCTCAGCTCCTGTGTTGATACTGGCTCCCTGTTTCCTCCTGTGTGTTTACTCCTATGGGTTATATGAGAGAAGTATGGGCATCGCCTCATTACAGTTGCCACAGATCTCTTTGCACTAAGATCAAGGTCATCTGTAGTTATTTTTGGCCAGTTTGCTATCTCAATGAATCTTGGAAATCCTTGTCCACATGACCTCCCTGGAGTGCAGATTCTTCATTGTTCTCTCTGTGTTTTCACACAATATAGTTTCTGGCTTTCATCTGAGTGGCAGAGGTTGTTGCTTTCTTCAGCCTCTGTGGAATGTGCTGCTGGCCCTCTGAAAGGCTAAAGCTGCAGTTTTCTTTAGTTGAACAAACTCCCATGTTTTATTAGAACTCTAGGCTAGTGGCCCAATGTGCAAGTAAAACAGGTGGCACAGAGCCATTTCCAAAAGGTGGCAGACATTTTCCAGTACTGTGATAGACTATGAACTAGTGTTTCCAAGCACATTTGGTGCAAAGAGGTAAACTGCTGTATCTACGATGATTTAGAATTCTAGTTAATGAATTTCTAGTAATCTTCACTAATCTCTGTGATGAGCAAACAGTTTTAAACCTCCTCAGAACAGCATCACAGCACAAATCTTTAGTTAACAGATGTTCTTGGTTTTCTGAGGCTTCATGGAAAACTGTGCATCTTTTGGGGAGGAACCTTTACAGCTCTTCTCATGTAGAAAAAGCAAAACTGTGTTAGAAATACCTAGAGCTGGTCTGAGCAATTTTTGTCACCAGTACCCCCAGTCCATGCAGCTGGACTACAACTCTCATTGTTCTCACCACTAGTTAAGATGTCTGGAAAGTTGCAGTCCCGCAACATCTGAGGGGGGCACATACTGACTGTATGTCGCCCTGTAATTCCCTTACAGAACTGAGATTTCTATGCAGATGTCTGAGTTGAAATGTTCATGATCTGTCCATCAGACTTCATAGTCCTTAGGTAAGGCACTCCTTTCACCAAGCTGTGTGCAAACGTATTCCAGGACCCATCCCTATGGTTTAAGTATTTATTTTGGAATAAAGCTGATCAATCAGTCAGTCTCACTGCTGACTCTCTTATTTAAAACATGCCAGTCGTAGCTCTTCATTTGAAAGGAATCTGTTTCATGGAGCTTCTAGCAGAGGCCAGAGTTGGGAAGCATATGCCACACAGCCTCTTCAGCCAATTCCCTGCCATGGAGTGTCACAAGGCATTGAACATTTCTGAATCACAGTTTTGAAGCACTAATCCAAGTTCTTTCCCCCCACATTTAGGAATAAATTAGCCAGAAAAACAGCTGGATAGTTTGATATGGTTATGATCACTGCGACATTTAAATTACACCCAGTTAAAATCAGTGGATTAACTGTGGTCTTTGAGCTAATGAGATCTTTCTAGGAGCCTTTCAGTGCCAAATTAATTATGCATTTTATGTCTTTCTCCAAATCAAAACTGCTGTTATGGCAAGGGTTGCTGGGTGTGGAGAGCAGAACCGTTCATGTTGCATGTGACCCACATAGCCTGGTCAGATGGCCTCCAGAAAGATTGCAGGCATGAAGTTTTTCTTGCTAGACTGGGGTAGGCAAAGTGCCACTCTCTTTCTGCAGCTTCTGTATTTTCCTTGACCCTCCCTTACTGGTGCAATAAAAGACGAAGAGGGGGGATGACTTTTTATTCCTGGAAGCCCTCAAGAGGCACAGTTCTTCTTTAAATAGGTCACACTCACCCTGCAGTGTTTAACACACCCTTTTCCCCATTTTTTGAAAGTGGAAGTAGAATTCTGGCTACTTTTGGTATTGTATTTTGCTGGTTTTGGTGATCTCTGTGCCTTCTCTCTGGAGTGTCTTGGGGTCATAAAACTTTGGAGTCATGTGCTGGATAGAAGCTGAGACATAGGGTGAATATTGTTCACCATGCCCTCTCCCTATTTAATACTTTATGCATAATGATACAGAAAATAAATTATTGTCCTAACAACTTTGGTGCTGTGTATGAATTTGCTCAGTTTAATCAGATGTGGACGGTAACGTTAAAATGAAGACTTAAAGCTAAGACTAACAAAAACCATTGCCTTGCTTGCTTGTCTTGTAGTGATGTCCTTGCTCTGCCCATCTTTAAGCAAGAAGAATCCAGTCTGCCTCCTGAGAACGAGAACAAAATCTTGCCGTTCCAGTATGTCTTGTGTGCGGCCACTTCCCCTGCTGTGAAACTCCATGATGAGACTCTCACCTATCTCAATCAAGGTGAACTGTTTGTCTGTTGTCAGAATATTGGGTGGGCAGGAACAGTTTTGCATATCAATGTGGCATACTCAAATCTTCATTGATCACTTGGGGGTCTGAAACTGGAGGGGTGAATGGCGAAGAGGTGAACAGAAGCCTGTATTCGTCTGTTTGCTTACTTCTCTGAAATACTATTGTGGTGTCATCCAGCAAAACTTTCAAAATAATGAAATTAACTGGAAGAGATTCTGGTTCTTGCCCTCCTACTGGAAGTTGTGCACTGTCATGGGTGTACTAAGGTTAGTTGAGCAGCATCCAAGCCAGCTTCCAAAGTTGATCAGCCAATAAGTTGTTCTAATTTCTCCTTTCTTTTATGTTGAACAATCATTCGTAACAATCTGACTGTTTGTTTCTTGGTTGATCAGCCAATAAGTTGTTCTAATTTCGCCTTTCTTTTATGTTGAGCAATCATCCATAACAATCTGACTGTTTCTTTTTATGTGACTGAAGCATTCTAGTTTTCTGTGTCTTGTGAAATTTAATGATCTCTTGGTCTTAATTTGTTTTAGTAATTCTTGGTTGATCACCCTTTTCCCCCAAGAAATTCTTAGCATCCCTCAGCAATTCCACAGTAATTTCACTCATAAAGAAAGTGTTCTTAAAAAGCTACATGAATGAATATATGGACATGTCCTCATGTTTCATCACCTCCAGAAGTGCTCCAGATATTAGTAGAAGTATACCCAACATACAAAGGATGCTATCAGCTGCTTCCATTTCTTTTGATGCATCACACTGTGAACTGAAGAAGAGTGAATTGGTGTTTTTGTGGTAACATGAATCTCTTTTTCTCAGGTCAGTCTTATGAAATCAGAATGCTCGACAACCGAAAGATGGGAGAGTTACCTGAACTAAATGGGAAGCTTGTAAAAGTGAGTGTCTGTGATAATCTGTCCTCCCCACAAAGGCCCCTAATGGGTCAGAGAGATGCTTGTCCGGTAGATACTGACAATCATGTGCACTGTTACCGTACATGTAATTCCAGTGGTCTCTAAAATCTGCAAGTGTGTTTGGTGCAACTTCTTGTTCATTACGGTCTGGTTGCTGTTAGACATAGCAGCCTTTTAAAAGAAACCAAATAACAGTGGGATGCTACAAAGTAAGCAGAGGATATTTTAGTATGTAAGAGGTCTATGCCATGGAAGGAAGTCTGTGGAATGGAGCCCCTCGGAGGGAAGCAGAAACAAAACAAAAAATAATGTCTCACTACTGATTCCAGCCTAAGCTTATATACCAGCTACTCATTCAAATTGGATAAAATTTCACATGGCAGTTTTGAAAGATCAAGTCATCTGAGTTTCAAAGAGCCAAAAGACTAGCTCAAACTAGAGCAAATTCCCATCTTTCTCTTTGGTTTTTAGACCAAAGGATCTCCTGACAGAAAGTATGATAGGTAGTCTTGAATCAGTGGTTCAGCTGTATGACCTGCTGTTTTATTATGCAGAGTTTTCCACAAAGGGTGGTTAGAGTGGTGATGGAATATTGCCAGACATCTTACTGACTTTCTGTGGGGCACGACTTCTGTGTTGTGTGGAGGTGAAGAGAGAGATGGCACCAGTGGCCAACGTTTAATGAGAGCCATTGCAAGTGTTGCCTGCTTTAGACTGAGATTATCATCAGGTGCAACTGTGCTGCATTGTAGATCAACTTATTCCAGGCTGGTGTAGGCATTCTGTCATTTCTGATTTTAGCTTTTCTATATGAAACAAATTTTGCAGTATTCTGGACAGGAGCCAAAAAGAGTGGAAGATGTTGGCAATGCCCCAGTGTATCCTATGCACTGATTTTAGCTTTTCTATATGAAACAAATATTGCAGTATTCTGGACAGGAGCCAGAAAGAGTGGAAGATGTTGGAAACCAGTGTATCCTATGCCGTTCCATAAATTCTTGATTAAAAGGTGACTTGTCTTTGGAGTTGCACAGTGGCTCTTGGTTTCTAGCTGCTGTTTGGGCTTGAACAAGATTATCGATCCAAGCTTTTGTCCTACAGCAGTGGTCCTGCCGTGTTAGTGTAAAGCTCTTGGGGCATAGGACAACAGTATTTACTGTGATCTCAGTGGTTTCCAGGCAGAGAGAGTTTGAGCAACCGCCTTTGTGAACAAAAAACAGGGACTGGTCATGGTGGAGAGTATTATGCAGGGCTCATGCAGTGGCTGTCTCATTGCCTGAGCCATTGGAAGAAAGTGTTTTTATCCCTGTGTGTTCTTTATGCAGAGGCATCAGACCCCTCCATTGGGGTGTTTAGTCTAGAGATCATCGTCTAGTCATTTAGTTGTGTACGACTCTTCGTGACCCCATGGACCAGAGCATGCCAGGTCCTCTTATCTTCCAGTGCCTCCCACAGTTGTGTCAAATTCATCTTGGTTGCTTCGATGACACTGTCCACACTTTCCCAACATCAAGGTCTTTTCCAAGGAGTCTTCTCTTCTCATGAGATGGCCAAAGTATTGGAGCCTCAGCTTCAGGATCTGTCCTTCCAGTGAGCACTCAGGGTTGATTTCCTTTAGAATTGATAGGTTTGTTCTCCTTGCAGTCCAGGGGATTCTCAAGAGCCTCCTCCAGCACCACAATTCAAAGGTATCAATTCTTCGGCAGTCAGCTTTCTTTATGGTCCAGCTCTCACTTCCATACATCACTGCAGGAAAAACAATAGCTTTGACTATTTGGACTTTTGTTGGCAAGGTGATGTCTCTGCTTTTTAAGATGCTGTCAAAGTTTGTCATCGCTTTCCTCCCAAGAAGCAGGCGTCTTTTAATTTCGTGGCTGCTGTCTCTGTCTGCAGTGATCATAGAGCCCAAGAAAGTAAAATCTGTCACTGCCTCCATTTCTTCCCCTTCTATTTCCCAGGAGGTGAT